TTAATATTTTTCCATCGCTCGTCCTACACTCGAAGTAAGGTAGCGATGAGGAGGTTAGTCTAAAAAATGAACATCTACGAAATCATTAAAATTATTTTCTGGGTTGTCCTGCTCTTTTCTCATATATTCGTTTTTATATTCGTTTATATATTGGTTGTATTTCCTCATATTGGGTGGTATCTTCTTCGTAGTTTTTACTATTTTCATTAGCATCTTGTGCAATATAGTTGATTCGTTGAAATTTGTTCGGGTAGTTGTTGCTTAATTGGTTAGATGGTGGTGATGGTCGTTTCCCTGCAATTCCGTTGAAGTTGGGTCTATTCATGTAATTAATATTTCTAGTTTGTTGGGATTCGTCTATTTCCATCGGAACTGATGGTTTCGGTTGCGTAGGTCTTGGCGGTGGATAATTAAATTGGTTAGGCCTTGGTAATTGTCTCGAAGGATAAGCAGACATGTTTTTGTATTGGGGATTGACAAAATTATTCTGATATTTTTGGTACTTCGTTCAGTTACGATTGCTCTGGGTATTAGTAAGAATATTCAGCAAGATACGAAAACATATAATCCTAACATAATTAATTAATTACTTTTGTTTTCCTAATATGTTCAAATTCCTTGAACATGTTATCTTTGGCAATGCCAAACACATGCATGCAATACACACGCATTCCACACTTAACAATACAAGCGTATTTACCTAGTTAAGGGCAAATATAATATAATTAACACCATACGCTGAAGATTACACAAAGCTTTATTGTCAAAACTAAAGCTCAGGTGAGACTTGCACTGTAAGCAGTATCCCACGGGTAACTGCCAAATGACACCACACGTCATCTGTGCGCTGAGTCAACAACACCTTTGAGGACAGCAGTAATGTGACTTGGTTTAATTTTAAGAAATTTTGTAATCAGTTTAAGTTTTACCTTGATAAAATAAGACCGCTTCGGCTAAAAATATTTTTATTTTAACGTAAATGTAATAACTGGCGCAACGTGCCAATCGCGTTCGTGAATCCAAAATAAACCCTCATAAGAGCGTAAAGGTCCTGAAGCAGCACCACAAGGATTACGATACGGATTTGGACACCGCAACAAGAAAGGGATGCTTCGTGGAAGACCCGCACCCACGAAGAGTGCGTGATAAAGAACTCTAGTAGGACCAGCAAACGGGACAATTCATGCGCGGGTTATTACGTGATAGAGTTAAGATATCATAAAACATATTCAGTTATACAACTAAGTGAAAGAAATAAGAAAATATCGTGAAATAAGTTTATAGAAGTTTCTTGAAAACAAAATAGTAATAGAGATTAAAAGTAAAGTGGAAAAAGAAGAGTGAAATATTCCAATTAAAATTAATAAAACGGAAAATATCAAATTTAAAACGAAAAATACAGAAACATTTCAAAGAAGATATATACATAAAATAAAAATATATATTTGTAGAAAAATAAGTTAAATATACTATTATTAACGAAGGGTAATATTCAATTTGGGAAAATTTTTAAATAAATTAATCACTAAAGGCTTGTACAGCCAATAATTAAATAAAAGCAAGGCGCGATTCACCACCTTTAAGGGGACCTCCGGCTTTATAACAAAAACAACTCTCGATCACCTAAACGGGACCTCCAGAGATTGATAATCAAAATTATAAAATAAAACAAAGGCTTGTACAGCATAATAAATACTAAATCCTAAAGTCGCGATTCACCACCTTTAAGGGGACCTCCGGCTATAATAAGAACAACTCTGCGATTCACCTAAACGGACCTCCAAGAGATTGCTAAAATAAACATAATAATATATATCCATTATATTCAACTTTATTTTCCATAAAATTTTTAATTTAATTCTTAATTTAATTCCTCAAAATGAGTAATCCCGAATCCATAATTAGACCTCCAGTCCTAAACACCAGTATACTACCACCATCCAATCCTCAAGTTACCCGAACTATCCAACATCACGAAATATCGTAGCTCAAGTTATTTCAACAGACGCCCCAGCTCTCATTGAGAATATTATTCAACCAAGAAGGGAAACGGTAACAGACCAAACAATTGACCCAAGATATGCAGGAAACCTATCAGGACTTGACAGAGTACCAGACGTTGTTAGGTGTTTAAGAGATTTTCTGGCGATCCGAAAATTCGCATCTTGGAAGAAAAGTGTAGAGAGAATTTTGAGATTATGAACTCGAAAAGAGCACCTCGTTATTTTGGCATTTTGAATGATCATAAGAAATAAAATAACAGGGAACGCCGATGTAGCGTTAGAGTCTTATAACACTCCGCTCAATTGGAAGCAATTTCGAAATGCCTTAATACGCATTACGCAGACCAAAGAGACATTAGTATTGATTGGTACCAAATGTCTTCCTTTCCAGAAATAAATCTATTAACGAATTTATCACGAAGTATTTTACCTTTCTAATATTGAATAAAATTGCATGTCTTGACTAAATCAAGAATCTTTAAATATATTAACTAAAACTTATCGCGATAAAGCATTAGACACTTTTGTGAGAGTTTATGGTGAACTTCCAAAATTATTGGAATAAAGAACAACTGACCTACCTCAAGCACTTCAGTTATGCATGAAATTACAAAATCAAAATTTCCGAACACAGCACGCTTTCAACAACCAACCTATATCACGAAAACCACCTACCCCCTTCTTAAGGAAACAACAATATCAAAGCAACCTTTTATCCGAATCTCATACATTCCCCAACCAATCCATCGCGTACAGAATTTAGTACAACCAGCAGCATTCAGAAATATACAATACCAAAACCCCATTATCCCTCAACC